ATGGTATTTAAAACAAACCATTATTGTGAAGTTACTTTTTCTAAAAAGTGGACAAGTTGCATAACCAAAAGAAGAGTAGTGTAGAAAGAAAAAATGATAACAGTATAGCATGTTTCATTTTTTTTTTTTTGATTGTTTGATTTATTTATTCATTTATTTTTATTATTAAAGATAAACAATCTAATAAATTGTTTACTAAACTCTCTGAGGTCTTAAGCTTAGTTTAATGACAAAAGCAAGGAGATATATTTTATTATTTATTTAAAAATGAAAGTGGACATAGACTGTGGCATGTCTTCCATTTTGTATGCTATTTTTTTCTCAGTAACATAGATATGTGACAATGCGTCCAGCAGACATACATCACAATTTCTGTGTGAAGATCTTTACAATTCCAGACCATCATGTCTACAGTTTTTGCATGATTTTAAAGAGTTTGTGGAACATTGAAGTCAGGAATTTCTTAACACAAAATGCATGTCATACACTGTCTTTTTAAATCTGGATGAATTTGTACTGAAAACATCTCCGAGAAAGCTCAGTTGTTTGTGTAATATGTTGTGTATAACATCAAAATAGACATTAGATCATTATAAAGTGCAGAAGTGCAGCGTAAGGAAAAAATAGGGAATAGAAAGTAAAGATAAGCATATTCTGTAATAAGGTCATGGGCTTTACGCTATATGGCGTACTGATCAAAAAAAATATTTTTGAAAAATAAAATTAAGTAAAGAAATATAGTTAATACTTTAACAAAGCTTTTATACAATTCTGATCATTCTGAACAGCTCGTTTCATTAATAATACGTTTTATCTTCTCTGAACATTTAAATCTTTTTTATTTTTTTCCGAGTCGGAGAATATTTCGGACATCCAAATTAAATATTCTTTATAACGCAATTGACTTAGATTTTGTAATTTACAAAAGATATCTTTATATAAAGTAATGATTCATATATTTAAAAACAATAAAATTGTACATAGACGTGGCATATATGGCTATAACCATTCAGATGGCCTATATAGCTATCTGTTCTCAACACAATACATTTATCAGGTTAGGTGGTCAATATATCAGGATCCAAAATATAGAGCGATCGGTTAAAAATATGTTGAAAATACACGAAGAAATCAACACAGAAAATGAATAGTGTTTTCATTTTAAAAAATTTAAGCTACTGCATAAACAAGTTTCTAAATGATATACATGATCTCATTTATTGTTAAATTCAAAGAAAAGTGTCCTCACTCGACAAATTCAAATTATATACTGTACATTGGAATAATGAATTATCTTTTTTTTAATATAAAGATAAAAATGTTAGGCCCAATAAGCAAATGTGTTAAACAGACATCTAATCATGTAGAAATAAAACGTACTATAATTATATACAAGTATCACTCTTCTTTGCAGACTATAGACAACATAAAAATTTATGAAAAAAGAATTAAAAAATCAAACTACATGTAGCAAGGTTATAATAACCTGGGACCTACATACTTAGTATATAGTTACCTGAAATAACTAAGTTCTTTCGATTGTAATGGGTCGAAAGTTGCATTTCCAGAATTTACTATAAATGTGTTTGTTTCCAAATATTCTTTTTTTCTTTACTACAATTTTGTAAAAGTTTTTATTTAATTACAAAATAGATACATGTTGTCATAGTTTTCTCGTTATATGCATTCAACTAAATAAGTAAATGAAATATCTGGCTGTTTGAATAAACTTGGGTACTAATATTTGGCTGTTTGAAGTGCGTATTTAAAAGACTTTGACAGGCAGAATGCAACAGGGTTTTGAGCAGAACAATATTTATAAACTAACATGATTAGTATTAAATCAGATTGCAGAAATCGCCAATAATTGAATTGAGTGAGTCATTTGGTCCATAGAAGATCCATACAAAGACGTACATGACTCATGTCACTAATATTCCATAAACTCATATATCTGATGCAGGTCTCAAGTAACTTGCGTCCTATTTCCTTGTTACAGAAATGCACAAATGTTTAAAATTAATAGTTGTTATAAATTATTAGACAATAAAATGTAGTCAATATCAGTCAATCATCGAAAGGTGTCCGCAAAATTACTCATTAAAAATGCATAAACATTAGCTACTATTTGCAATACAAAAAATACGAGGGGTTACTAGTATCAAAAAGTTCGTGGACTAGCGCCATAAAATTAAAACCGCTTTAGGCACATCAATGAATTTTAAAATTTCTAGTTAGCATCATCTTTTCTACCTATAGAATAAATCATAAATTTTATTTTTTTTAATAAATTGGTAATGTTTTTGTAAGAAATGGTATGTCCTAGAGAAGCAACCACGAAATATTTTGGCCTGTGTGTAACTGAGAAAAACTCTTATGATATGAACATTTGACTTCCAAAAATCCCGTTAAATCAGGTATTTGTTGGGACACAATTGTTCCATAAAATATGAATTTTTTCAACTAATTCTGGAAGTTTTATGAAATTCTATCGTAAATTTTACATGGTGTGTCCAACCAAATAAGGCTTTGAGAATGAGAGAGGGGGAGGGTGTCCTTTTCCAACATTCTATAAAGTTTTGCCCCTGAAAAAACTGGTATAGACCTAAGAAATGTTTAAACTGGCTAGAGAAATAATATGCATCCAGAACACTTGTCTTTTAATGTCAAAAATAGATTCAGAGAGAAAAGGGATGCACAGTTAATGTCGATTTGTCTTCAAGGTGTGAAAAATCAATCACGTCAAAAAATAACGTTGTCATGTGTTGCAGATAATGAATTCCAAAAAGCAAAATATGCTGGCATAATCAAGTGAGGATCTCTCTCAATGTATAAATTTTGGAATATTATATTCATTGAATTGATTGTTCCTTATTCAAGCTCAAGGTCATAAAAAAAGTGTAAATAGGACATTAAAAAATGACGTTGTCAGACGTCATGAAACTAAACAGCGACAGCGCCGGGTGATCATGTAATGTCTTTTTTATTTTAAAATAATTTGGCAAATAATTAACGTATTAGGCTAAAATTTTCAACATTTCTTTATTCAGTGTGTTTTATGTTCCATAACAATTTTGAAAGCACAGATTTACATAGTGAAATTTAAGGTGCTGAAGGCCATTGCTCACCTATATGTTTTGTATCTCTTGCATTATTAAAAAGTATTGATATTTGTCATTGTTTGTCAATAGATTACTTCTGATTTCTACACTGTTTTTAAATTTAAGTACACCAAAATTGGTATAAAGGCCAGAGATTACCCATGGGATATATAAGTATATTGCTGCGTAATTAAGGGAACTTGACGTTTGAACAGTTTTTAAGTCATAAGTTTATAACAGAGCTTCGTTAGATTACCATTGACGTCTTCTTCAAGTAAAATATCCAAATATGAAACAGATGTGTCAGACTCTGTGGCATCTAATGTATTGGAAAATATGAGTACTATTGAATATCAAAAATACATGGAAATATTTCACCTTTCAAGTTATGTATGTTGTAGAATTTAGGGGGCCCAGAATACTGAAAGAAAGGAGGAGGCATTCCAAATATTCTGAAAAACCAAATTTCTTACTTTCTGGATTTTTATAAATATTCTACACGATATTTGTGTTAATGATTGTATTTCAAGATGAGATCTAATTTACGTGCGTCGCCAGTTTTTACTTTTTCAATTTTTGAACAAAATGATATGGAATATAAAAGATGGTTAAAAAAGATATCATTTAAAAATATCGAAAATATTTTGCGATGGAAGAAATGAAAACCGTAAAGTTATAATTACTCGAGCTTTATCTAATAAAATTGTGTGAACTTTAGATAATATATCTTATATTATGATCATATATAGAAAATTATAAAACTATACTGGTACATACAAAGCGGGATAACCCCTATACCTTAGCTGAATGTACATAATGTAGCAAATTATTGTTAAATCATAACATTCGAATAATTTTAATTAAGTTTTTGTTCCTTTAAGTTAAAAGAGCTCTTTCTGAGGTGTACAATAAGTATTCTTGCTTGAATCTTACATGTGTGGAATATCAATGTGGGGGGGGGGGGGGTGTTTGTTTATTTTTTTTTCTGGAAAAAAATTAAATATGAATTGAATTTTTAAATGCAAATTTCAAGTCATGGTTTAAAACAAAGAAAGAAATGAAGACAGTAATAAATTAATTAGCGAACCACAACGGTATTTAAGATTGTAAATAAATATTTGCAAAATGCATGGTGAGTAAGTGGTTGAAATGAAGTAGAAAAATGGCCAAATTAAAATGCAATATAGATAAGATTTGCTTTCTTGTATTTGCAGAGATTCTTTATCGTTGAATGTCGAGGACAAGAAGCATAACCTTAAAACACTTCAGTTCTTTTTTTGTATATGATTCTGGGTACCAGAGTTCTACTAACTCTTACAACTAACTATTGTTTCATTCTTCTTCAATGTGCATATACATGTATATACGATCGTATTAAATACCGGTATATATTAATCTGATAGAAACAGTATTTAAAGAACTTGAAATGAAAAAAATTCTATATATGCTTAAAAAAAATGATATAAAATCGTTTTTATATGGGACTGTTATTTCTTTGGTAAAACTTCCATTTCGATTGACTCTGATTATTTATTAAAAGAAATAGGGAAAACTGCAAAATATGTATCTAAAGAGTCATGTTAATGTTATTTAAAGACCCCAAGGAAGTTTGAACATTCTTACATTTATAAGTTATAAGCAAATTATGATATTTATATCAATGAGAATGAATTTTACCGACTGATCTCTTTAAAGAAATTTCACATTTATCACATTACCATACTGCACAGTAAAAGAAATTGTTCAAAGTCTATTTTGTCACAATGCTCTATTTCCAGGGAAGAATCCAATGTTCTTTATCAATTAAATTGACACGACGTTCTCTTGCAGGTGACCTAGACTTCATTATGATATTATTTTCTCGTATACCAAACAATCATACCATAAGATAAGAAGACTTCAGCGCTAAAACACCACAGAAAAAATGCCAAGTCGCATTTTACAAGTTTATCTTCTCCAGTTTCTGTTATGTTCAGTATGTTCAGGATCAATATTATATCAAAGAAATCCTGACATTTTTCAAGAAGATCCAATTTTCGAAGTTTTGAATCCAAAGGAATTTCCAGGCGATCAAACAATTACAACGCAACAGCTTAGAACTATTCTTATAGCTTTTAAAAAGGAAAATGTGGAACAAATTACAAAACTCAGAAAGGATTTTGAACTCACTCTAAAAAATCAGGACTATCGCATTCAAAGCCTAGAGAAGAAAATAGCCGAACAAGAGAGAATTATTTCTGATTTGCAGCACGATTTTTCCACGGTTAATACCCGTGAATGCCCGTCAGACAATTTTATTCTTAAAAAAGGAGAAAACGTGAATCACACACCTACCAACGAAATCGCAATGTCTAATGTGTCGTCCATAAAGGATGAAATTAAGGCTTCCCAAGATAAAAATGTACAAAGTCTTAAATCAAAAGAACATCAGACCTATGAAAGAAAAGGTAGAAACAGTCTGTATATTTTTAATTCTTTATTGACATTAAATACATAGTTTTGGAGTTATTTTTTTAATTTCCTATTTGATCTAAAAGTTCCAATTATATAAGGACCTCTTTGTGATGTTATGATGCTTAACAATACTGTACATCACTTTTATTAAATCAAGTTTATGGGAAATTCCCTCTAAAACTATATTTTTGTTATTTTTCAAAACTATGTGTTGCTAGTATTTTTCTTTTTAAAAAATACTAGGATTTTAATCATTTGATAACTCTTCAAACCTCCCGGTAATGTACGCCGTTTTTTTTTTGTGTGTAAGAACATCTCATGGTACTATTAATATCTTTGAAAATTATTAGTGGGGAAGGCACATTGTAGAGTTTGAATACATGTACATGTACGTTGCGTATGTCTTTAAACTAAGAAAACAGGGTATCTTAAGATCACATCTTTCTGAATGCATATGGACATATGAAATATCTTGCAGGTAGGTTGTTAACCCCAGATGTAACAGCACCTGGTCCAGTGGTTGCCTTCTACGCGTACATGTCTGCGACTCTCCCAGCTAATGTAGCAACGCCTCAACATGTTCTTATCTTTGACCACGTGAGAACCAATATTGGTAACGGATATCATCCTTCCACGGGAGTGTTTATAGCTCCCGAGACAGGGGTTTACGTATTCATATGGAATTTTCATAATGGCGGTGGAAGTTATCATGCTACCCAGCTCATGATAAATTCGGAGGAGTGGGGAATAATATATAGTCACGCTGCTTCAATCGCTTGGACCCAGTCCACGGGTTGTGTAGTGGCCCATGTAAATAAAGGGGATGATAATATCTTGATATTGAATATTCATATCCCAAATATTCAATAATAAGCATTATATATTGAAAATATGAGTCTTGTGGGAACACATTTTTCTATGAAATTGAGATATTTTTATGTGATTTGTTATTTTAGGTAGACATACCTAAAAATACCCTCAGCTTGTTGAATAAATGGTTATAAACAATATGTCTTTGTGAAACATTGATGCCCTCGTATGGCAATTTATCGGGAAGGTTGTAGCTTTGAAAATTCTAGTCAAACTCCAAGATCATGTATGGATCAAAATGACAAAATTGTTGATATCAAAAGAAAAAGGTTTTGTCACAACAAATACACATTATAGCTAAAAATTACATTTTTGTAGTAATAACAATATTATTAAAAGTTATGGCTTAAATTTTTACAGTGGGTCAAACTCTAAGATCAAGGTCAAAAGGTCAAAATTTTGGTGTCAAGAGGAACGTCTTCTCACAATAAATACATCTGTGAAATATAAAAACCCTAGTTCTTCATGTACCCGTTCAAAAGTTACGGCCAAGATAAAAGTTTTTACTAAGATGGTCAAACTCTAAGGTCAAAGTCAATAAGTAAAAAATCCTTACACTTTTTGAAAAATCTTGTCCCATTTGAAATACATTTGAAGTATAAAAGTCTTGGTACCTACTAATATGGTCAAGGATAATGTTTGGAATTCTTGTGTGTCAAACCTCCAAGTCAAGAGGTCAACTTTCGTGGTACCCAAAGACAGGTCTTGTCTCAAGGAAAAAGCGTGTAAATATGGAAACCAAAAGCCCTACCTAGTAAAAAGTAAAAAAAAACAATGCTAAAGTTTTTTTTTTAAACACAAATAGAAAAACAGACAGACAGGCAGACGGACAGGTTAAAAAAAACAACATACCCCCAAATCTTCAACTTCGATTGCAGAAAAATAGATAAGATTTACTGTAATTCACTCCTTATTCACGAGAACTTTATTTTCGGGTAATTTCACGAGACAATATCTTTGCTAAAGTACATGTATCATTCTTGCGTAACTAAAAAAGTATTCTTAAAGAATATAATTTTATAGAGCAAAAATCAAAATTCGTGAAAATTTTGTCTCGCTTATTCAGAGTTAATGTTTATTTCGCAAAAATAAGATATGTCCCGAAAATTAAGTGATTGACAGTTTCCAAATAATGTTTTGTCAAATTAGAGAATCGAGAGGGACGTTGATTAAAATTCAATCGATCAGTATTCTAGCTACATGTGCTTAAACTTAAAAAACACCTTTAGATTATAAAATAAAGTATTTTCATCTATTTATTAATAAAAAAAAGGTGTTGTTGTTCAAATTAATATTTGCGCAAGTACTCAAAATGTTTGTTTAACATAACAAAAATTGTTCATACTGAGACGACAAGAGCCGTAAAAGAGCAGTTCTTTGTGAATAAGGATTTGACAAATTGGGCTAAGATCGGTTTCAATCTTTAGAAATAAGCATGCTTTAGGCTGTATGTTTCCTTTCTTTTTTACTTTTTGTGCATCACCTTTTTGCTTTTCAAGTGTGTTTTTTACCATTATACTATTGGCTGGGCTGTTTTTGTCATGTGATGAGGAAACATTATGTCATGTGACTAGCCCGGATGTTTCAGTTTTCAATTTGTCATTAACTATGTATTTTGTTTTAAGCCCAAAAATTAATTGTTATATAGGTTTTTTAAAATTAACGTCTTTGAAAACGTAAAAATTGAAACTTTAAAAGTGTGGCACCAGATTCGAGCCAAGACTCCAAATCTGTACACGATGATGAGAGATTTTACAGGTACCGATAGAGCTACATGTATTCTATTTGATGAAAAATGGTGCATAAATATAAAGTAGATTGCTAATAACAGCTTTCCTTAATTTTTGGGGTTTTTTTTCCTGAAATTTAAACCTAGGGTAGGTGTGCTCCTATGAGTATCCTGTCTCAATTTATTCCTTAGATCACAACCTATTAAAACTTATTATTTCTTATGAAGGGGTCATAAATGTATCCTTAACTAAATTCGTGAAAAAATTAGAGTTTATCAAAGAAAATACTGTTCTAGTAGTTCTTTAGGTTTAAATAAAAGTTGCAAATAATAAAATTTAGACATTAGAAAATAAGTTTTACACAAAGATACCGGTATTTATATATGGAATTTTTCTGAAAAATTGTTCTCTCCAGTAGGTCAAACTTCGATATTCCGAATGTATCTTTTAAACCTATATGGGTCATTTTCAAAAAAAGTCTATTTTTTGAATGACATATTTTGAAAAATGAAAGTGGTTTTACTATGATTTTTTCAACTTTATTTGAATAATATAGTAATAAACTACTAAAATCCACTGCATTGCATAAAAGAAAATATTTCTTTTAAAAAATATTGACATTTTATCTTAGTCATTTAAACTTTAATGTCCTTCCTGTTACTTTCATAAAAAGAGCTGTAAAACTCTATTTCAAAATTTTCATCAAATTATCTTTTGTATACCGTTAATAAATGAAAAAATTATCATTGAATGCCAAGATGTTTGACATTCATCTAATATATGAGCGTTTAAAAGCATGTCAAACTACCATATACCAAACAGAAGCAAAATCTACGGGTTTTTCTTCATGAAAAGCCTTATTGCGGAATGTTTATATGCTATAGTTGAAAAAAACATTCTTGTACATTATTTTTGTGATTAGAATAAACAGTTACAGAAAGTTATTTAAACAGGTGCTCTGCCAAAGCAATTTAAACTAGGAAAATATACTGGTAACAGTAAGGACTCGGGTAACAGGAAGGACAAAACAGTAACAGGATGGACAAAACAGTGTAACAGGATGGACAATGAAATCTACATTTTAAATAAAAATTGACTTTTTTTAACTTTATTGGTTAGGAAAAGAGAAATAAATGTAGAATAAAAAAATGATTTTGTCAAATCTGGCAAATTTGAGACAATAAAAGACATTTATGTCCATCCTGTTATGAAATTTAATTCTAAAGTGCTATTAAAATATTTATCAGTTCAATTTTTGTTTATTAAAGGTACGCTATGCTGTTGCAAAACTAAGAATTTTTCATAATTTTAAGAAAAACAAATGATGAAACTTAAATAGGTATATAAATACCAAGATAATTTGTCCCTCCTGTTACAATTTTTGTCCATTCTGTTACAAGAGTGCATGTTTAAGTTATAATGGCACAATTTGAAGCACTAACTTATTTCAATATGATTTATGAAGTTTTTTAACATGTGTTATTAAACTTATATTACTTAGAAAAATAAAAGTATTTGTTTTTATTGTTAAAACTCAAGATATGAAGTCCAGTTTTCCTTACTGTTACCATATTAATGGTAACAGGAATGACAGTAACAGGATGGACATTTCTCATATAAATCACCGGTTATTTAGTATAATGTACTCTTTTTGCATCATCAAGACATTGAAACAGTTTCTTTATAACTTAGTAAATCTGATTGTTTTAGCAGAATAAACAATTTAAAGAGTATTTGCATATTATGAAGGTAACAGATAGGACATATTTTCATTATACTCTACCAATAAGACAAACTTATCGACATTTGAACCCTTCCTTTACTCACTTTCAAATCATGGCGCTCATAAACTTGAGACAACAGAAAATGATGATATATTGTGGATCATGAAAACAGTTCCTAGGAAAGTGAGATAACTTTTATTTTAACATTTTCTTTCTGATAACAGGAATGACATAAACTGGTGGGACATGTCACTTCCTGAATGTTAAATGCACGATACTAGTATTTAGTGGGCGGCATAAGTAAAACAATCATATTAAATTAATCTGTAAATGAATTCAATTAAAATGAGGTGCAAAATTTGTACATATCTTCACAGGGTAATATTTTCCCTATCATTTAAATAAGCACGTTATAAAATCTTTGTTAATGTGACAATGTTTTACTGTTAAATTTTACTCGGAATGCAGAGAATATTTTTTATAAAACACCTGGGAGGTGATCATAAAATTACTTATAAGCTATATGACCATGTATATTAACCAACGGGAAAAAAAAATTTCACTCTAAAAGATGTTTTCCTATTATTCTGATCAAAAGACAAAAAAGTGGACTTTTTTTGAAAATGGCCCATATACTCTGCTCTTAAAGTCTTTGAGAAATGTATACGTCTTTCTTTTGCAATTGACCTAACTCGAGGTTACGTCGCTATTTCTGGCATATTATATTATACAGTTATGGAATGGGTACGAGGGAAATAGCAAATTTATGGTTACCCGAGGGAGGAAATTATTTCCCGAGGCGGCGAAGCCGCCCAGGTAAATAGTTTCCTTCCGAGGGGAACCATTAATTTGCTATTTCCCGAGTTCCCATTCCATAACTGTTTTTATTTTAATGCAATAAGTATTTTGATACCCCGGTTACCCATCAACTGGTTAATTTCTTTCCATAATCCTTTCAAAGCTAGAACACCTTATGTTATCCTCCTTCAATGAGTAAAAAGTCTGTAAAACAGTTTGTCGTGTGTTGCCACCTTTGTGACGTTTAATAATTTGTTTGAAATTCTCAAAAGTATTATTAATAATGACATATAATTTTTAGCAGACACAAGATATCAAGATGAGAAATAAAACCAATTTTGTAAAGGGAGATAATCCAAATTTACAGTAATTACCACTTAGATTTAACAGAAAAATCATGAAAATGGGTCTGAAAACGCTAAAACATAAATTTAAACAACAAAGAAATGGCGGAGGCGGGGCGGCAGGAGGTAAATAACAAACTTTGAAACAACGTCCGTCCTCCAAGGCTGTAGATGGGAGAAAAGGCAGAGTAACGCACCGCATGGTCAGAATTTCATTTGTTAGATTTTAATTGGTCAGATTTTGATTGGTCAATCTCTGCCTCTCCTACCACGGTAAGACATGGAACAAAATTAACATTACAAAGCACAGCTATACAGTATTTCAGACTTTCACATTCAAGGAGGACACTTATTGATTACAATAAAAATTTTTAAGTAAACTTAAATTTATTTATTTTAATGCAATAAGTATTTTGATACCCCGGTTACCCATCAACTGGTTAATTTCTTTCCATAATCCTTTCAAAGCTAGAACACCTTATGTTATCCTCCTTCAATGAGTAAAAAGTCTGTAAAACAGTTTGTCGTGTGTTGCCACCTTTGTGACGTTTAATAATTTGTTTGAAATTCTCAAAAGTATTATTAATAATGACATATAATTTTTAGCAGACACAAGATATCAAGATGAGAAATAAAACCAATTTTGTAAAGGGAGATAATCCAAATTTACAGTAATTACCACTTAGATTTAACAGAAAAATCATGAAAATGGGTCTGAAAACGCCACTGACTTGACCGAATTAGGGAAAGTTCAGACCCATAAAGGAAAAATAAATGGCAACACACCTCAAACATAAATCATACCAAAAGTGAGTAAAATTTACAAACATGGGAATAAACATATGTCCCGTAATGCAATAAAACAACAATTTGAATTCACAAGTGTCTTATGAGGGATAAACATATGCCCCCATCACAACCAAATGAGTTTACTATTCCTAGTGTATTATGTCTGTGGGTCCCAAGTATTAACGAATCACTATGTAGAATGTCCGATAAGGGATAAACAAATGCCCTTATAGTCGCAAATCATCATCTTATTCGCTGTTTTTTACTAAGTTCACATGTATGTGGTATTCATTTAAGGACTGTCTCGAGCAATGTTTTAGATGAGGGATAGACATATGCCCCCATATTGGAAAATATTTCACACTGTAAGCTTCCGCACCATTTTAAATGTTTATATGCACGCGATCTTGTCACCTACCAGCCTAAGTATTAACAAATGACTTAGGCACTATTGTTCTGGATGAGGGATAAACATATGCCCCCATACGTTAATACTCTTGAAAATCACTTCAAAGTCGAGATCCTACACAAATAACAAAACAAATCTGCTCCGAGGATCCACTTCCACTCAAGCATATATCAACATGGTGTCACATGTCTTATGTAATATTTAAATGCATCCGATTTCCATCTACCCAGGAATCTAATCTGACTATCGCTCATCCCTCGTGATGCACAGTAAGAGGCCATTCCGATTCAAAAGGAATGTTCTTTGAATCTATTGACATCCAAATTACAAAACATGAGGCTTTGCTTTAATATGTTTGAAAATTCTTGCCTTGTGACTGCAGTGTTTTGGGGGTAGCAAAAAAGGGGCCCATCGGTCCTCCCTCTCATCTTAATGTAGTGTTCTAATGCCCCCACTGGACAATATTTTAAAGAGTTGCAAGAATTAATTGTAAGAGTAAAAACTTTACCATCAGAATGTTTATAATTTTGAAAGTGAATCAAAACTTTACTTTTTTGAAAAGTAATCTGTGAAACTTGTAAAACCTTATTAGCAGTGCCAACTGATGTTATCTCTCCTATTCTGAGGAAGCCATGAAAAGCCAATAAAAACATTGTTTGAAATAATGCCCTTTTATATATGTTCGATATTGTATGTTCTAAAGCATCACAAATTTTAGGCAGAACTACTATGGTTATGGGTAAACGAATATCCATTGAAGGTCTTGATTTGCGACAGGAACTTAATAGTTTCTGAATGAGAAAGCATGATGTATTGTCAGGCAAATTATTAATTTTATGTATATATGCTATTGATGAAATAAATGACACGATAGAGGAGGCTGCCTAACCTTCAGCAAATAAATAAGAGATAAACAAAGCCAAAGTTTCCTGAGACAACGGAAGATCATTACTCATATCAAATTTGTTTGCAAAATTTCTATAAATAGACCATGCCCGTTTATATGCTTGAGTGGAAGCTGGTGCCAATGTTGAAGTCAACAGGTTCCTCAAGACTGGTTCTAAGGAGGTAATGTTGGCAGATTGGGAATCACCGTTGGTTCTTTGTCCATCCAAGGAGCAAGTTGATGGAACTGCTGCACCTTCAAACGAGACAAGCAGTCACATAGAATATTTTCCTTGGTACCCAGATGCCTAGCTTTAAACAAAATGTTAGACTGCAAACAAATTAGCACTAACTCTCTAACCAAATACATTATACTTTTTATAGGTACACCTATGTCGGCGCAAACTGTTAAAAAATGCCACAAGTTTTTTGTGGCACTCTGTCGCAGATTTGTCAACAATTAGAAAATCATCTAATACATGAGTCATAAATTTAATTCCTAATTTTTCTTGTGCAATCCACTGAAGTGCTGTACTAAACCTTTCCAATATACAACAGGATGAACTGCAACCCATCTGAAGACGTGTCAAAATACCAATGACCTTGCCAAGTGAAACCAAAGTATTCAAACTGTGATGCATGTAGGTTGATAATTCGAAATGCATTAGAAATATCTGTTTTGCAACAATATGATCCTTTCCCACACTGCTTAATGTTTTGAATAGCATCCTCTACAGAAGAGTATTGAACAAATGACTCTTCCTCGGGTATGCCATCATTGACAGACTCACCTTCCGGATATGACAAATGATGGATCATACGGTACTCACCCTCTGTTTTCTTACTAACTAGACCTAAAGGGGAACAATTTAAAATTGGCAGTGGTTTCTCTTTGAAAGGACCCATAATTCTACCCAAATTTATCTCCTTTTCTAACTTTTTGCTAATAACTTCTGGTAAGTCCAGTGCCGGTTTTAAATTTTTTGAAAGAGTATTTCTACTTTCCCCTGTGTAACCAATGTGGAACCCATATCAAAAAACCATTAACTAAAAATTCTGTTTCTACCTTGTCATACCCCACCAACCAGTACTCTAATCTACTGGGATTTACTGGAGTTGGACCCTTTTGTGGGATAGGTTGGCTTTGAGAATTTAGCATTACCTGTGTTGGTTGATGTGCCATTTCCTTGAAATGGTTTTTGGGTTCTGGATTTGTCCAAGAAACGAAATGGCCGTTGAATTGGTTTTTTACATATGTAGATTGGATGGAAGCCACCACAGTTATAACATCTGTGCTGGAATTTGCATGATGAACCAAGCCTACAATACCTTCCAGCTTTGTGATAGGCAAAGCATGACCCCTGAGGGACTTCCTCATACGCACCAAATGACGAACAGTCTGGTGTTATTTTGCTTGACTTCTTTTCTGATTGTTTGAGGCGAGCATTAACATATATCTCCATATGGACATCACCCCATTCTACCTCACCTTGTTCTATGAGTTCCCTGAACTCCTTATCATATTTTCTCCAGTCCCCCTTTTCCTCTGCAATTTGCCTTACTGATTCCATGTGTTTTGCAAGCTTTGGCTGTGCAAGTGTATCTTTAATGCAATATATTGTCACATACCTATTCCACGCAGTTACCCAGTCATGCAGGGATAACGAACCATCCCTAACTTCGTCGTCATCTGTGGATCGCATATTGTGGATTACCACCTTACCTGTCTGATCCTGTTCCTCTACCTTGATAGAATACTTACTTTTCCCCTTTTCCTTTTTTAACAACAGAGCCATATCAACATATTGTTTTGACCAAATTTTAGATTTTATTTTGTCAGAAACAGTTGCCTCTATCGGTACTGATGAGCTTACAAAACCTGATTTCTTACCGACATTTGCTGCAGGTGGAAGTTCAGTACCTACAATCTGTGAACTGTGTTCGATTACAGCGCCTGATACCAATCCTGAGATACTTGCATCTACTGACTTATTTGTTATTTGACAAACTGCCCCAGAAGGACCTGCTGTTAAACTATTGCTTGATGTAGTGGAAGCATTATTTCCCCTTTCTCCCCCCATATTATGAACAGAGATACTCCCCTGATGTTGCAGTAATGGTTTTATCTCTGCTAACACCTTCTCCGTGACTGCCTTTGTTATGGTTTGGGTTAATGCAGCCAAGGCTTCAGGAGGAACATCAAGGGGTTGAGTGCTTGTATCGACAGCCACAGCATCATTGGTAGTGGACTTTCCAGTTCCGTTATGTGCACGTCGTGGTCTTTTCACCTGACTTGTTTTGGACTGTTGGGCTTTATTCCTTTTGCCTGGCATAATGCTGGTAAATATATACCTATATAAATTTAAAATTAAGGAAGAAGTATGTGTCCAATATATTATGTTATGTATAAATATAAACTGTAAAAGGCTTCGGCCTTAATTGACAATGAACAAGAATTGTAAGACCTCACTGTAGCCAGTGTAGGCCCCAACGTCAGAGTCAGTTAGCCTACATGACAACGTATTTGAGCATATTGATATTTAACATTACATTATATAACCACTTTCATCGCTCAGTACAATGTGTAAATCTAATACAACAAACTAGAAAGTGATGAACCTTTTCTTACAATTAATTTTTTACTTCATTGATTCTGCCGCTTTTCGATAAAACACCCTGTATCACCTACAGTTGTTGACAAAAATTTTCCGGAAATAGAGTAAATAGTAGAACCAAAAGTGTTTTGGAACAGATCTGTAATTCCCGAATTGCCGTAAGCCAATAAAAGCACCCATTGTGCGACTGCAAAAGCCATTAGTCAACATCACTAAGCCGATGCTGATCAGTAAGAACTATCAGCCACATAAAACGAAAAGTTGACATAAGTTATAAATCACCACCTTTGAAGCCGACACCCCTCGCACCGTGTCAAATTCCCAAGAAGGCTGTAGTGCCTTTCCCACAGATAACAACCTGTTCGGCTCTTGTTAATTGTTTTCATCACTACTACAAACGAGGTACTTGAAGGGCTTGTAATGTATCTAAGCGCAGTTGCAGAACAATAAAACCTTAATAAATGAATAATGAAAAACAACTATTTGTACAAGACTCAATATCATATAAAGGGGATAGCAAATACAAACAGTAAACTTGTACCTTCAAAAATGAAATGCGGATTTTTTTTTTTTTTTTTTTTTTTTAATTTTTTATTATTATTATTTTTTTTCATTATTTTAATTCCTCCATAATCTGGACCATTGAATCGAACATGATTAGGTAAATCAACTTGAAGTGAAATCGATATAAAAATCATCAAGGTAAAAGTGGGCCTAACATGAATTAAAAAACCAAAACGGCTAAATGTCAAGTACAAAATACTGCCTGAAACTTGTACCTAGGACTTGCCTAAAGTACTGTAAAAATTCACAATATTTTAGTAATCAACTAATACCGAAACAAACAAATTGGCAGATATTTTTCCAACAAATTGTTTTCTTTTTATACAGAAAAAGGATAAATCTGGAAGGCATCAACATGCACTTCTAGACTTATCAAATAAACAAGCGATGGAAAATAAATCGCCGGGGTAAAAGTTGAAACTAAAATGAAAAGACCCGCATGGGTACAAACTTGGCAAGTACAAAAGACTGCCTGAAACTTGTACTTAGGACTTGCCTAAAGTACTGTAGAATTTCACAATATTTTAGTAATCAACTCATACCGAAACAAACGAATTGGCAGACAATTTCCAACGATTTTCCTTCACAGAAAAAGGATAAGTCAATCTGGAATGCATTGAAATACATTCATAGACATCAAATAAAAACCGATGGAAAAAATCGCCATATGCATGGTAAAAGCTGAAACTAAAATGAAAAAACCCGAAAGGGTTTAAACTTGGCAAGTACAAAAGACTGCCTGAAACTTGTACTTAGGACTTGAATTGCCTAAAGTACTGTAAAAATTCACAATATTTTAGTAATCAGCGAATACCGAAACAAACGAATTGGCAGACAATTTCCAACGATTTTCCTTCACAGAAAAAGGATAAGTCGATCTGGAATGCATTGAAATACATTCATAGACATCAAATAAAAACCGATGGAAAAAATCGCCATATGCATGGTAAAAGCTGAAACTAAAATGAAAAAACCCGAAAGGGTTTAAACTTGGCAAGTACAAAAGACTGCCTGAAACTTGTACTTAGGACTTGCCTAAGGTACTGTAAAAATTCACAATATTTTAGTAATCAACTAATACCGAAACAAACTAATTGGCAGACATTCTTCCAACGAATTTACTTCACAGAAAAAGGATAAATCTGGAATGCTTTAAAATACATTCCTAGATATCAAATAGAAAAACGATGGAAAAAATCGCCATCTGCATGGTAAAAGCCGAAACCAAAATGAAAAAACCCAAATGGGTTGAAACTTGGCAAGTACCAAAAAACTGCCTGAAACTTGTACTTAGTATCTGCCTAAAGTACTGTAAAAATTAAACCAACAACGAAACAATCAAATTTGCTGATACTTTTTCCAACCGAATTTTCTTCACAGAAAAAGGATAAATCCGTTTTACATTATTAGACATCCTAAATGCCTATCGTACTGTTAAAATAACAAAATGTTGTATAATTTCAAAGAATATCTATCTGAAAAATTGACGAACAATAAAAGTAACAAAATGGTGACAAACTTTTATGACTTAGATGTATATATCTATTTTCTCGCTGAAATTAAAGCTCCCCTTATACTCCTATATAAATGAACATTCCCCTGACTGTTCAGATGAACTCCGTCGTGAACAAATTTACGACTGCAGTCTCCTTCACGGGGAGAAACGAAATAATTCCCATGTTCCCAAAATACGCAGTAACCCAGTGCTGGCAATGCATCTCTCAATATTGCGTTTACTTTGTCTGCAATATTATTGTACCCAAAACGAACACCAAATCGTGGCAATAATTTACAAACAATTATTTTTGCAACTTTATAGCGGCGATGCATTACCGATACCACAGATTCAATTTCTGCAGCTAACAAAGTAGCGTCGGTACTAGGACTAATTTCGTTCTCCCCAATCATTAGAACAACTACATCTGGACCTAAAGCAAATACGCTCTCCATATCCTTAGATATTACATCACGAACCTTTCTTCCACCCACACCCCTGTACAGAACGGAATGCGTTTCTCCCAGACCAAGGCTCGCAGAATACCTAATGTCACCATATTTCAAGAATTCATGAAAACGACGCACAATTGAGTGTCCAAGAATGACAACTGAAGTTTTACTCATAGAAGACATAATGAAATAAATTTACTCACCAAAATCTTGATAAAATAAATAACAAACTTTGAAACAACGTCCGTCCTCCAAGGCTGTAGATGGGAGAAAAGGCAGAGTAACGCACCGCATGGTCAGAATTTCATTTGTTAGATTTTAATTGGTCAGATTTTGATTGGTCAATCTCTGCCTCTCCTACCACGGTAAGACATGGAACAAAATTAACATTACAAAGCACAGCTATACAGTATTTCAGACTTTCACATTCAAGGAGGACACTTATTGATTACAATAAAAATTTTTAAGTAAACTTAAATTTATTATTTTACCAAAACAATCATAGGCGATTTATTTCTTTTTTACCAGATATTCCGACATTTAAAAAACACTGTAAAGGCATAATTATAAATGCATGCGGTTTAACAAATTGTATGATAGGTAATGCATCGCGTCCTAAAACAATTAAATTATTTTTAAAAAGTATTTTCACCGACATTTCGAAGAATTGTCGCTTTCTTCATTTTGCTAGAATCCAAGCATGATTTTGACATCGCATGTCGAAATGTTTTGACGTCATACAATTTATGTGGACTGACAAAGAAGACTTTTTCTTCAATTCTCTTTCTCAAATTACTAGTATACAAAAGCAATATTATTTATCAAAAGAACTTTATTCGGTAATAACCAATATTTGCCCCCCAAAACAAACTTTGATGGATATATATTTAATTAAGTTCTTAAACAAGGGAGTATATGCTGACTTCAAAGCACTGAATATTTTCATAAGTAATGACGCCATATGCACATAATGACGTCACAAACATGATGTAAATTTCAGTTTTTTATGAATTTTACAGAAAAATGTTCATATTTCGTCGATATTTTGAGTAAAAGTCACCGAGCGCATGTGTGTTCAGGATCAATATTTTGATATAATGTGTAGAATGATAATATCAATGAAATATGTCAATATTGTTCCTGAACAAACTTGCGCTCCATAAATTTTAAAGCTAAAATTGTTGAAATTTTGTCCATTTTGTCCTCTTTCTGAAAAAGGATAAAAAATCGGACTAGTTTGTGACGTCATAAAAATAAAAATTGTGAATACACTGCTTTGACACTATAATATTTTCTGTTAATTTATATTTCTTATACAATTTATTGAATTCAGCACATTTCAGGAAGTTTTCAAAATTTGACTTTTGTGGGGGCAAATATATGCAATATACCGCAGATAGTTCTTTGTTGTGTGGATTAGTACTGTATCACTGGGGTTAATTTTATATAGGACTGGATCATTTGATGAGGGAAATTAAATCCTCAAGTTATTAGCAAATTCTGATATCAACATCAATGAGAATAAATTTAACCGAATCTGAGTCTCTTTACAGAAATGTTAAATTATTGTACAATACCGTAATGTATGAAATTTCTCAATGTCTATTTTGTCACAGTTCTTTATAACCATGGAAGGACGCAAATGTTCTTTATCAGTTCAAATGACATCGAGATCTGTATACGTCTTTCTCTTGCAGGTGGCCTAGATTTCATTCAATCGCTTCACCTTTCCGTAAATCTCAAATGTATTAACATCATGTTAAAATTTTATACATTTTCTGTTTAGTCAAATGTAGGATAGAAGGAGTTAGAAGTGCCTTCTGTAGTATATTTTAGGTAATATCATTACATTGAATGCATTTATTTCAAAGATCGTGAAAAAGGAGGGTTGTCATGGCGTCTACCATATACATTCGAGGTCGTTTTCCGCTAGTCGGAAAAGCCCGAGAAGTTGCTATTGGATTTCATTATGACCTTTCTAGTCTACCAAACAATCATACCATAAGATAAGAAAACGTCAGTGCTAAACCAACACCAGATAAAATGCCAAGTCGCATTTTACAACTTTGTCTTCTCCAGTTTCTGTTACATTCGGGATGTTCAGGATCAAAATTTTATCAAAGAAATCCTAACATTTTTCAGGAAGATCCAAATTTCGATGTTTTGAATCCAACGGAATTTCCAGACGATCAAACAATTACAATGCAACAGCTCAGAACTCTTCTTACGACTTTTCAAAAGGACAATGAGGCACAGATTACAAAACTCAGAAAGGATTTTGAACTTACTCTAAAAAATCAGGACTATCGCATTCAAAACCTAGAGAAGAAAATAACCGAACAAGAGAGGATTATTTCGGATTTGCAGCAAAGTTTTTCTTCTGTTAATTCACATGAAAGCCCGTCCGACAATTTTATTCTTAAACAAGAAGAAAACGTGAATCACATTCATAAACTTACCGACGAAATAGCAATGTCTAATGTGTCTTCCATAAAGGAGGAAGTTAGGGTTTCCAAAAATAAAGATGTACAAAGTCTTCAATCCAAAGAACATAAGAAATATGAAAGAAAAGGTAAACACAAATATTTCATTAAATACTAGTATTTATTTGTTTATAAAGGTATATCAAGGAAGCAATTATACCTTTTCAAATAAAAAATATGGTTACACGCAACGTAGTTTTAAAGTTAAAGTTCTTTAATTTTATTTTTAATATAAGTCAAAAACTCCAATTACTAAAGAACCTTTTTTGTGATGTCATGGCGCCTGGCAATACTTCTTGCTACCTCTATATCAAATTTATGAGAAATTCCAGCTAAAGCTATCTTTATGTTAATTTCTCTTCTTAACTTTTTCTTTAATAATAATAGCATTTTCATAATTTTATTTCTGGTCAAAACTTTCGGTATGTTGGTTTTTTGTGTTTAAGAACATCTGACGTTCCTATTATTCAATATTTAAAAAGGTACCTTGTAGAGTTTCTTATTTTTTTTTTATTTTATTATTATTTTGTTAATATATACTTATAATCACAATTTTCTAACATGTTAAAAAGAAAAATTAGAATTTTGTGGTATGGCGCTTCTATAAATATTACATTGTGAGACATAAATACAGATATAAAGATAGGGCATACAAAGATTGAATCGCAATTTTTTCATTTCTTAATTTAAAAGCTAAATGGAAAAATCTATGATGCATACGTCATTTAGATGAGAAAATGGACTACCTCAAGATAACATCTCCGACTAAATATATTAAACTATTGTAATTTCATCTTTTATAGATAGGTTGTTATCCCCAGATGTAATAGCACCTGGTCCAGTGGTTGCCTTCTACGCGTACATGTCTGCCAACCTCCCTGCCAATGTAGCAACGCCTCATCATGTTCTTATTTTTGACCACGTTAGAACCAATATTGGTAATGGGTATCATCCTTCAACTGGAGTTTTTATAGCTCCAGAGACAGGGGTGTATGTATTCATGTGGAATTTTATGAATGGCGGCGGAAGTTATCACTCCACACAACTCATGATAAATTCAGAAGAGTGGGGAATAGTGCATACTCACACTGCTCCAAACACTTGGACGCAGGTCACGGGTTGTGTGGTGGCCCATGTAAATAAAGGGGATGATGTTTTTGTGAAAACGTCAGGTTCTAGCTCAGGACTGATATATAGTGATATAAATGGGAAAACTTCATTTTCCGGATGGAAAATTGATTATTAAAGTGTGCAACAGAATTTTGTGGTCCAAGATCAAGTATGCACAAGATATAAAGTTGATGTTTGTCGACAAACCACAAAGATATCATGACTTGACGAGATAGTTATCTTTATTTGACATGGTATGCTATGTTAACAAAAAATTATGTGGTTGGCATAAATATGCAACCATACATACTTGATCTTGGAGTTTGACTATGTTAACAAAAAGTTATGTAGATGGCATAAATGTACCACCATTAGTATGGATCAAAATGACAAAATTGTTGATATCAAAAGAGAAAGGTTTTGTCACAACGGATCAGGGATGGGGTCAATTACTTTAAAAAGTAATTAATTAAATTACAATTACTTTGACTTTTTCTTCAATTAAATTATAATTAAATTACCGGCTTTCTATATCATGTAATTAATTAAATTACAATTACTTTACAAAAGTAATTAATTAAATTACAAATTACATTTCAATTTTTTTGGAAAATCCTATAATCCTTGTCAATTTTTTGTATTATACAGAAGAGGGATCATAAAGCAGATCGCTGCACAAAAATATCAAGAAATAGTATGGTAAAGCCATTTGTATACTTGTGATTTAAATTTTAACTTTTATTAACAAAACACTGAAGAACTACTTATCACAATTTTTTAAACATGTTTCCTCACACAAACCCTACATGTACACAAACTGCATGTGATATGATATTTGATTAATATTACATTGTGGGATTTCAATACAGTGTAATATGTCACAACTGTAAACCCTCAAATTAAATATTTCTTTTGAAGTTAATCTAAAACTCCTGATATTGCTATTTCTGCAGAATAAAGATACTTCATAAATAATATTTGTACAGACAAAATATATTAACCTACAAAATTCATCTTTTAAAATTCTGTTAACATTAAAATAATTATCAAATTGAAGGTGTTTCTTTCTCAAACTAGCAAAGCATTTGAAATTGAAATAATTATCCCCATGCGTTGGCTTTGTCTTATTAATCATGGAATGAATACCTCTTTTTATAGAGGAGTTGATTTGTTTTGATTGCAATTTACACCTGTGATGGCTGCAGGACAATTATCTCTTATCAACAAGAGAGAACTTAATTAATGACACACATTCCTTTTTCTATTTTTCTTGACACACATATTCTGTTGTGACCAAGCAACAAACTTAAGATTGAAATATAATAAATGTGTATTTCATAGCTGAATAATAATAGGAAGGGTGGTGCAAAATTCAGATAAACATGAAAAAAAAATTTTTTTTTATAAAATTGTATATTAAATAGAAATGGCTTAACTTCAATCTGTAAAGATTGAAGGATATTAGATTTTCTTTTGCAATAAAAAAACGTAGTAAAAGTGGGGAGGTAGTGGTGATTCAGTATATTTTGGCATTTGAATAATCATGTACATGTGTATCATATAAAGTAATTGAATGTAATTGAAAAAGTACATTGAAATTCCATGGTATTTATTCAGTGTAATTAATTAAATTACAATTACATGTAATTGAAAAAATGTTCAATAAAAATTACTTGCAATTACTTCAAAAAATGTAATTAATTACAGCCAATTACAATTACTTTTTTCAATTACCCCATCCCTGCAACGGATACACATTATCACTAAAAATTAAATATTTGTAGTAATAACAATTAAAAGTTATGGCTTAAAATTTTACAGTGGGTCAAACTCTAAGATCAAGGTCAAAAGGTCAAAATTTTGGTGTCAAACTTTTTATGTCAGGAAAATCTTCTTACAATGAACACATCTGTGAAATATAAAAGCACTAATTCTTCATGTACCCTTTCAAAAGTTACGGCCAAGATTAAATTTTTTTTCCAAGAGGGTCAAACTCTAAGGTCAAAGTCAATAAGTAAAAAATCCTTACACTTTTTGAAAAGTCTTGTCCCATTAGAAATACATTTAAAGTATAAAAGTCCTGGTACCTACTGTTATGGCCAAGGATAATGTTTGGTATTCTTTGTGTCAAACCTCCAAGTCAAGAGGTCAAATTTCGTGGTACCGAAAGACAGGTCTTGTCTCGAGGAAAAAGCGTGCAAATATGGAAACCCAAAGCCCTACCTAGTCAAAAGTAAAAAAAAACAATGCTAAAGTTTTTTTACACACAAATAGAAAAACAGACAGACGGACGGACAGGTAAAAAAATACAACATACCCCGAATCTTCAACTTCGATGACATAAAAATAGATAAGATTTACTGTAATTCACTCTTTATTCACGAGCACTTTATTTTCGGGTAATTTCATGAGACAATATCTTCGCTAAAGTACATGTATCATTCTTGCGTAAGTATAAAAGTATTCTTAAAGAATATAATTTTATAGAGCAGAAATCACAATTCGTGAAAATTTTGTCTTGGTAATAAAGTGTTAATGTTTATTTCGCAAAAAATAAGATATGTCCCGAAAATTAAGTGATTGACAGTTTCCAAATAATGTTTTGTCAAATTACCAGTTTTACAAAAAAAAATTTTTTTACAGGCTACTTTAATTTAGCTACTAGCGTCTTCATATGAGTGAAAAAATCTAACAACATATTATTAATCAATACTTGTATTCCAGCTACTTAAACTAAAAAAAAACCTTAAGATTTAAAAATATAATGCTTTCATCCATTTATTAATAAAAAAAAGGTGTTGTTATTCAAATTAATTTTTGCGCAGTTACTTCAGAATGTTTGTTTAACAAAAAAAATTGTTCATAATGAGACGACAACATCTGCGTTGAAGAGCCGCAAAGGGACATTTTTTTTTTATAAATAAGGATTTGACCTATTAGACCGAGAATAATTTTAATCTTTAGAAATAAACATGCTGTCGGTTGTATGTTTCCTTTCTTTTTTACTTTTTGTGCATCACCTTTTTGCTTTTCAAGTGTGTTTTTTTACCATTATACTATTGGCTGGGCTGTTTTTGTCATGTGATGAGGAAACATAATGTCATGTGACTAGCCAGGATGTTTCAGTACTCAATTTGTCATTAACTATACATTTTGTTTTAAGCCCACAAATTAATTGTTATATAGGTTTATAAAGTTTACGTCTTTGAAAACGTAATAAAAATTGAAACTTTAAAAATGTGGCACCAGATTCGAGCAATGACTCCAAATCTGTACACGTTGATAATCATGCAGAGATTTTAAAGGTACCGATAAAACTACATGTATTCTATTTGATGAAAAATTGTGCATAAATATAAAGTAGATTGTTAATAACAGCTTTCCTCAATTTTTGGATTTTTTCCCCCTGAAATTTTAACCTAGGGTAGGGGTGCTCCTGTAAGTATCCTGCCTTTAATTATTTCTTAGATCACAACCCATTAAAACTTATTATTTTTTATGAAAGGGTCATGAAGGTATTCTTAACTAAATTCTTGAAGAAAAAAATTTAGTGTTTTATCAAAGAAAAAAAACTGTTCTGGTAATTTTTTAGGTTTGAATAAAAGTTGCAAATAACAAAATTTAGACATAATTAGAAAATAAGTATTTAACATAGATATTTGAATGTGGAACTTTTTAGGAAAATTGTTCCCTCCAGTAGGTCAAAATTTGATATTCCGAATGTATCTTTTAAACCTATATACTCTGCTCTTAAAGTCTTTCAGAAATGCATGCGTCTTTGTTTTGCAATTGACCTAATTCGAAGTTTCATCGCTATTTCTGGTATATTACATAATCAGCGCCCAAATAAGATAAGAATATTTAGGAGTGATACCACGACAGGAAAATGCTAGTTCGCATTTTACAACTTTTTTCCTTCCCATTTCTGATTTCCTTAGGATCGGAATTAAATCAGAGTCACCAAAACAGTTTTCAAGAAGATTCAGTCCTCGATCTTTTGAATACTCCAGACGGTCATACAATTACAACAAAGAAGCTTAGAACTATTCTTACAACTTTTCAAAAGGACTTTTTAACTCGAATTTCAAAACTCCAGAATAATTTTGAACTCACTCTTCGATATCAGGAAAATCGTATTCAAAGCCTTCAGAAGAAAACAGCCGAACAAGAGAGAATTATTTCCACTTTGCAGCATGACGTTTCTGAAGTTTGTCCAAACCAAAAGCCGTCAAACAGCCATATGCATGTAAAAGATAAAAGCTTAAATTGCAAGGACGAATCAAACGGAGAAGTCAGTGAGAAAGAAATATTTCCTACAAATAATGAGCCTACAGCTTTAGAAAATAAAAATTCCCAAAGCCACAAATCCAAACAACATGAGGGATATGTAAGAAAAGGTATTGATTTAAATGCATTTATTCAATTATTTTTTTTTCAATAAGAATTCATTTGTATACTTAAATATGATAAAAATATAACAAACGGGATTTCAATAAATAACTTACGGTGAGGTGGTGCAGTTCCTAATTGTTTAGATAAATTTCATACTTTTGCAATAAACGTTTTATAAATCTAATTATTTTTGTTCTTGTGTATGATATTGTGGGGTCAGTAGCAGAAAGATTGCTTATTCCGGAAGTACCAGGTGCAATGGTTGCCTTCTACGCGTACATGTCTGCTGCCCTTCCTAATAACGTAGCATCTCCGCATCATGTGCTTATTTTTGACCACGTGAGATCCAATATTGGTAACGGATATCATCCTTCCACTGGGGTTTTTATAGCTCCAGAGGCAGGTGTGTATATATTCATATGGAATTTTGGGAATGGCGCCGGAGGTTATCACTCCACACAGCTCATGATTAATTCAGAAAAATGGGGAATAATACATATACACACTGCTCCAAACACGTGGACCCAGATCTCGGGTTGTGTGGTGGCTCATGTAAATAAAGGAGATGATGTTTTTGTGAAAACGTCAGATGCTAGCTCAGGATATATATTTAGTGATGCTCATGCTAGAACCATGGATGGAAAATTTACTAAATGCAAAACTAAATGTTATTGGGGGTGGGGAATCGTGGTTAGACTCTAGAACAAGATTTACTTATATCTTAAATGAAAAATTGAATATCAAAAAATACTTCATTTGATAGGACCCATCCTTTCTGGCTGGGGTGTAAAATGGACTAATCATTGTCATAGTTTGAATATGAATATCTCCGACATCATTTAAAAAACATGTAACAATACGTCAAAAGGAAGGATTTCCACCAATTACCTTATCTTTTCAGGTCCTTTTTAGGTCCTTGGACACAATTTTCTTTATGAAAAGGGAGGTTATTCTAGGTCACAATGTGACATAAATGTGACAAGCGTTAAAATACACTTAATTTGTTTACTAGATTGTTATAAATTATAGATTAAAAAATATGCTATGTTTACAGCAATGAATAATAATTGTTCTGATTTATATGCACGATTATTTCAGCTGCTTACCTTTTTTCTGTGAAAACAAAAGTACAGTAAATAAATTAAATTTGTAAATGTATTGAGCTCTTACAATACATCAATACGCATACTACGGTCGAGAGCAATGATTGGTAATTGATAGTAGATTCGGTAGTTTTTTGTTGAAAAGCTTAATAAAGGAGTAAATATAAATTTTAGGGAGGTTCGAACTTTGTTTGAAAAAATTCTTGTTCAACATCAAATAAAGTGAGAAATATTTCACTGGGTTAAGGAGTTCTTGTCAAAACAATAAAATTAAGTTTTTCTTCTAAGGGTGATGATTTTTTTCTCTTCTTACTTACTTTTGCATTTATACAAGTTTGAATTTCCTTTACAAAAAGATGCTTTCTAACAACTTTGCTTAGAATTTTCCCAGTGCATACTGCATACTTTTACGCTTGAACACTATACAGAATCCATTTTGCAATGAAAATATTTAGCTCAACGTTTAATTAAATGAAAATAACAGGCTGAAAAAAATACATTTATCGATTACTCATTCTGTATCTCCATACATGACACAGGTTTAAATGTCGAAGTAAACCATCAACTTTGAAAGTCAACGATATTCGCAAAAGTCCATTTTGCGATTCCTCACACTAAATTCATGTATTTCTTTTCCATGGTAGACATGTATATTTATTGAGAAAAGAAAGATTATGTTGTTAAAATTTGTTGGCTGGCTATTTCTTCTATGCCAGTACAGAACTTTGTCTTTCTAACAATACAATTAAACTTCATATTTTTTATTTTCAAATTCATTTTTCATACATAATAATTAAAAACTTTTAAAAAGCAATGTTCTTTACATTTTTATTTGAAAAGTTTTTTCTGAAAGTTATAAATTGGAATGTTCTTTCATGTACAGATTTTACTTCTTGCATGTTTCCCTTTCGGTGGATTCTTAATTTTAACCTGTTATAAAACGGCCTACTTCTTGGTCCTTGACAGTTGCGTTTAGACAAAAGGTAAGAAAAAAGAAAACTCCAAATCAAAATGGAAGCATTTTTCCCCTTCTTTTTATTTCGCTTTGTACTGAACAGGACTCTTTTGAAAGGGGATATAATTTTTGGCATACAGATCCAGACAGGTTTAGTTTGATAGAAATATCATTCAGGGAGAAATTTATTTAAAGAGAAGATATGCAGATTTTTGCTATGACATTGCACCAGAACTATTTATCGGAAACTAAAAAGATGAAGAGATAGTTCCATCGCCAACTGCACGAACAAGCTAACCGGCTGCATAATCTCGAAATTAAAGTCGCAGAGCAAGAGAAGATGATCATCAAACTTCAACACGACAATGCAGAACCACGTTTGTCCCTCGGTACCACCCGGACACAAGTTGGAGAACTGGAGACCAGCTACCAGGCCTCTAGTGGTACCGGCATAAAAGATACATCTCTTAATCTGTACAAAATAAAAAAGCGTCCATTAGACGATATGCCCCTGCCAGTAAATTCGAAGAAAGGTAAAATAAAAATTTATATACACTGTATATACTAGTATACAAATAATAAATGACCGTATAAACTTTCTTTCAGAATTTTCGAATATCTATAATGTCTATGACGAAAGAAATCAAATTTTAAAATTTCGAAGCAATTCTCACACAGAATTTTTACTTGATATGGCATGGTTTCTTTACAGAAAGGATCCTTTCTCAGCCAGTTCCTTTGGCTGACAGTGGAGTTGCCTTTTATGCCTATAGGTCAAACAGCATCCCACCGAGTATCACGGCACCCAATCATGTCTTTATCTTTGATATTGTTCGCACCAACATTGGCAGAGGCTACCATCCCTCAACGGGGGTGTTTATCGTGCCAGAAGCAGGGATATATGTCTTAACGTGGACTTTTCTTAATCGTGATGGTAATGTTCATTCTGTCCAACTTATGATCAACTCGAATGAGTGTGGTATTTTACATTTACATACTGAAAGCACCACGGCTGTGCCAGCGACTGGTATTGTGGTCGCTCTCGTCAATAAAGGCGATGATGTATTTGTGAAAACCTCAGGTACGAGTTCCGGAGAGGTATAAATAGTGGTGTTGAAAGCAGAACGTCTTTTGCTGGCTGGAAACTCTTCTGAGCAATGTGTTATTTAAGATCTATAATAAATCTTAAATACACAAATGATGTCGTAATTTATTTAAGAAAAAAAATGATGATGTGAGTTGGTACAAACTACAGACAGTATCGAATTAGACATTCCAATATTATAAATCAATTAATGAAACAACAAAATGACAGTTTCAAACAAATCATTTTTTTTGGTTTCAATCTTCGGAGAACAAGGATTACTTTTTAAACAGAGTGTGTCGTTTTCCGTCCGTAGTTGTTCATATGTGTGTATGTGTATGTTCATCTTTTCTCATTTCCAATTTTGACACCCCCAAAGGGATTTCAAACAAAAAGGGTTCTCAAAACAGTTCAGAGTATACGAATTGCTCTACTGCAAATTCAAACTAATGATAACATATTATGCTTTTACTTTATTTTCCAAAAGCGAAACATTTTATGTCAAGACAATATGCATGAAATATTTAATTGAAAAATTAGTTTAGAAAACGAGTTGTAAATATCTAGAGGAAAATATCTTTTGATCACAAATTTTAAAGTCAGTTACTTTTTTCCACAGTTTATTGCTGCAAGTAAAATTGAATACAACCGTCCTACCAGCTGGAGTCGAAAATAATACTTCTTTATCAATTTTTTTTCAGAATATAACTTTTGGCTATGCATGCATCCCACCAGTTTAAAAAAAATAACACATATCAACATATACATGCATTACAAAAATTCTGACTCTCAATGAGCCTTAATTGGTGGGTGTTACGCCTGGTCAGTAATTGTGGGATTGTATGTAGATGGACGTTATGAAATATATGTATATCTTTAAAAGATGGTAAACTGTCGTATGGGTATTTATAAAACTCATTTTGCCGAGCAATTAAAACTTTTCAAGAAATTAAACCATATGGACAGCGTTGTTTGATGTTTTTTTTATTCTTTCATCATTTTATACTTTGATTGTTTTAAAATTTTGTCACAATTTAAGTTCATAGATTATTGCATCTTTATACATACAGGGAATGAACTGAAATACTTTTGTTACTCTGACAAAGTGAAAGGGAATGTGTAAAAATTTTGATACACAAGCAGAACACCACAGTCATACAATAGATGAGTACGATCAGTTTTTAAATGCTCTTCCCGCAGAAGATGTTGTTTTAAGGACGCTTTAAACACTACACACTAAAGACCTCTATTTATTGAGAAGTTTTATGCAGTTAGAGTGATCTGTCCTTAGATGTAAGATTACAGAAATTGTTATTTACCGTTAATTATTACAAAATTTATAATAGATTAAAATATTTAAGCATTATATATGACTAAGAGTAAGAAATATAATTAATTGTATTCATTTATTTTCCGAATGTAAGTAAACAACAGTGATTTCTGCTCACAAATAGTCCACTGTCTTTGAGCATTTTCCTACGAAAATAAGGCACGTACCCTATGTTCTAAATGATTGAAAAAAGTCTCAATATGCATATCTTTATATAATATATTTTTCTCTGAGTCCAAAAAACAGTTTTTGTTAGTGTTTAGAGCTTCCTTAAGGATTATAACGATCTCGTTTATAGTCAGGATCTTGAAATTCCTATGGTCGTTATCATAATTTATATGTCCTATCACCTATTTCATATCAATTGTTAAGCCTTTGTTTTTGTACGTAATTTCACTACGAAGTGTTTAATACACTCAGTAAATAAATAGGGTTCCAGGCAGACATGACTGGTCAACTAGAGATACCAGGCACCTGATCCCACATCCTGGAATTTTATGGGGCCTGTGTTTCATGCCATTTTGACAGATTTATCTTATTTTGAGATCGATTGATTACTGTTCGTTATCTTCAACTTTTCCATTGTAACATTTTTTTAAGTATTTCTAATCTCATATGATATTCAGACTGATATTCAGAATTTTAAGAGGTACGAGAAGCGTTCAATAAATAATGTCATTGGAGCTCGGAAAGAAACAAAAAACCGCTTTCCATGGTTAAGTCTTAATGATTTAACTAAAATATTCTGTTTAAATTAAAACACATGTCCGTAACTAACATTTTCATTCAATTTCTAATTGTTTTTAAAACACATTTTTGAGTATTACCCTTCGTATACTGGAATATGGCAGGTCCTATGATTTGCTGTACTTGTTTTTTTTCTTTCCGATAGATTTTTTTCTAAGTTTGGTTAATGAAACAGATCAAAGGTTGAAAGATCTGGCAAATTTTGTTGGTGTGACAAAACATTAACTTTCTGTTTATCCCCAAAACTCCTTTACTCTTCATGGCCTGTGGTTTGGATGCTGTCATGAAGAAATTTAATGTAGTGAATTCCTCATTCTGTTTCCTCCCTCTCATAAACCTGTCAATTATTTTGCAAAAAAATGATTGTTTTCTAGACTCCTGCTGAAATTGAACTTCCTCCCCGAATATGAATTTAAACAACAAGACCGCTTATGTTTAAGAAAATAGCATATAAAACTGTTTTCGTGCTCTTGATATTCTTTGCTCTTCTTATGCCTTTGCTGCAGTTTTGTCAAGTGCATCTTACTGTAAATTTGTTTTAAGGGTTTAAAGCAAAATTGATTCAAGTTTTATATCTGTTTGAATTTCAGACAAACTGGATAAGTACAAGTTTTGATTTTTTTAAATGATTGTTTAGATATTCATACACGCTGTCGTTTTCACTGATTTTTCAAAATTTAGGGTGACCTTTGCGTATTGAACTTTTTTACTATCAAATATTTCTTTAAAACAGTGTGAACTACCCCCAAAATGTTGCTTTAATGAAGCGTTTAATTTTACTCTAGTTTACTGATTCGTGACCATTCATTTTTAGCCGAAGGCCCAAGTGAGTTTTTCTGATCACATTTTGTCCGGCGTCCGTCTGTCTGTCTCTCTGTTAACTTTTCACATTTTCGACTTCTTCTCAAGAACCGCTGGGCCAATTTCAACTTGCAACATAGCATCCTCGGGTAAAGGGGATTGTAGTTTGTTCAAATGAAGGGCCACGCCCTCATTCAAGGGGAGATAATTGGGAATTATGAAAATTTGGTGATATGTTTTAAAAATCTTCTTCTCAAGAACCACTGTGCCAGGAAAGATGAAACTTATGAGGAAACATCCTCAGGTAGTGCTCCGTGATCGGGAGGTCGTGAGTGCCGAGTAAAGGTCAAAATTTGAAGCCCTTCACCAGCATATGGTGACGTCTCCATATGAGTGAAAAATTCTCGAGAGGGACGTTAAAACAATATACAATCAATCAATCAATCCTCAGGTAGTGTAGATTCAAATTTGTTCAAATCTTGACCCCCCAGGGGTAGGGCGGGGCCACAATGGCCGACCAAAGTATTACATAATAATATCCAGGAAAATTCTTTACAAATCTTCTTCTCAAGAATAGCAAAGCCATAATTGATCATATTTATATGGAATCATCCTCAGGTAGTGAAGATTCAAATTTGTTCCAATCATGACCCCCGGGGGTAGGGCGGGGCCACAATGGCCGACCAATGTATTACATAATAATATACAGGAAAATTCTTTACAAATCTTCTTCTCAAGAATAGCAAAGCCATAATTGATCATATTTATATGGAAGCATCCTCAGGTAGTGTAGATTCAAATTTGTTCAAATCATGACCCTCGGGGGTAGGGCGGGGCCACAATGGCCGACCAAAGTATTACATAGTAATATACAGGAAAATTCTTTAAAATTCTTCTTCTCAAGAATAGCAAAGCCATAATTGATCATATTTATATGGAAGCATCCTCAGGTAGTATAGATTCAAGTTTGTTCAAATCATGACCCCCGGAGGTAGGAGGAGCCACAATGGCCAATCAAAGTTTTACATAGACATATATATAGGAAAATTCTTTGAAAATCATCTTCATAAGAATAGCAAAGCCATGATTGGTCATTGGACTACTTTTGGATTTAAACTTTTCAATAATAAACCAATTTCTACTTTTTTCTAGCTA